CAGCCCGCATCTCCTCCTCTCTGTCGCCCCCTGCAGTGACTCCTCGAAGAAGGCGTTCAGGGTGGCCGGCTTCACCGTGCTGGCCTGCCTGCTCATCGCTGGCCAGGCCCTCACCGCCTACTTTGTCCTGAGCCAGAAGACCCAGATCACTAACCTGGAGCAGCAGTCTGATTCGCTGAAGAAGGAGCTGAACCGCCGCCCATCTGGTGGTAAGAATGGGGGTGTGGTGGACCTGGACTGACTAGGGAGGAAGGGGGTCTGTGCACTCCAGCGCTGGGAACTCTGGTGATCAAAATATGCCACTTTCTGAAAAGGTGAAACAGGTTCACAATTTCATACCTCATATTCATTCATTGATTTATTTGGCAGACACCCTTAATTAGGATGAATTACACAGATTGTTGGAAATTAAACTGTAGAATACAAGCATAAAATATATCCACATCATCCAGCTGATATAAATCCCTATGTAGCACCATACGGTAAAGATTTCAGTGTAGGAACACTCTGCTTCTGTTATTTCTAATACAAATATCAATCTTTAATTCACCTCCACCCACAGAGGATTCAAACACAACTGCGTGTCATACTGTAGTACATTCCTCACACCTCTGAGTTTAATTTATATTTGTAGTCCTGGAGAAATCCAGAGCTTTCTGCCTTGAAGAATTATGGTTTATGAAAGTGTATTTCCTTTGACTTTTTTCACCCTGTATTCCAGGTTCCTCTGCCAGCAAGGCCATGCACATGCCCTCATACAATCTGCCCATGATGATCGATGATGCGTCTGAGGTGAGGCTCTGTCCCAGTGCTGTGGTGTGTGGTCTGTTGCAGTGAGAGAGACTGCCCACTAGGTGGCAGTGTTTCAACAAAGAAAAGGACAGTGCTCGTTCGTTTGAAGTGCTCTGTCTGTGGTTTTGAACTGAGGCCTTTTATGCTGAGCTGACTCTGCGGTTGTTTTGTGTTTCAGCAACTGAAACCCCAGGGAGGTAATGTAGCCCGAGACAAACATGCACATCCACACACACACATGCACACACACACACACACACACAAACACACACACACACACACATATGAACATACACACACACACATGAACACACACACCGTGCTGCTCTGTTGGTAGCGGTCGTCCTTGAACACAGATCACTCTCTCCCTCAGACCCCAGTCTTCTGACCAAGTGTCAGCAGGAGGCATCCGCCCCGCAGACAGACTCCACAGGTTTCCGCCCGATGTGTGACAGGCAGGGTGGCTATATGCCCATGCAGTGCTGGCGCAGCACTGGCCTTTGCTGGTGTGTCAGTAAGGACGGGGTGAAGATCGCCGACACCGTCACCTCTGGGATCCCCAGCTGCGGTGGCATGGTAGCCGGTAAGAGCCCCCAACCCCCCGGCGCTGCTTGACCGTCTAAGACATTTTACTGGCTGTGGTGCTGTCAAGGAGTGGTTGTCAAATAAGTACAGACTTTCATGTCAGCAATTCACGTAATCATACATGTAATCGAAAGGAGCAAAAGAACCCATTATGGAGGACCTTACAGTTTCATGTATTAAGATATTCAGTTTTATTAGTTATTATATAGATGAAAAATAACACTCAAAAACACTCAAAACATTAGGGAGGGAAAAGTTCCCTTCAGCCCACCTAGTGGCAACCAAAGGTAAATCTTTAAGACAAAACCTTTGGTGGATAGTATAGAACTGAACTAGTTGGAGAGGAAACCAAACTGCAGCAGATTAACACAGGTTTCAGGATTACCTGTTATGGATGATTCATGGAAGTTAGCTACAGGATCCCAAATAGAGCCGCCTTTGCATTAATGATTATAGAGAGAGAGTGAGAGAGAAAGAAACAAATCACATGTAGGACTGTGTCTTTCAGTAGCATTAATGAGGTGGAGCTGATGGTGTATTTGGCGCCAGTGACACGCATGTCCTTTGCTCTTCCTCCATAGCCTCTCGTGGCCTGGCATTCGCGCCCAGCCAGCTGAAGAGTAGTGGTGAGTATGTCGCTCAGGAGACTGAAGGCTCTGCAGAGTCTGTCTAAAGAGAACGTCTGGACAGACTCTCTCTGCTGGGCCCCAGAAGAAAGCCACCTCTCTGTCTCAACGCCACCTCCCATTGGCTGTTTGGGTTGCCCTCTCAGGGAAAAAAAAACACTGCCATTCTCTCAGTTTTCCATTCTGTACTGTTACCTTACTCTTCAATAGGAGGGTGACTACACTACAGCTTCCAAACATTCCTGTTACTCCTTTGTATTATTCTTAATAAAATTGTTTGAGAAACCTGTCTTTCCCGATTGGCTGATTAAGAGTTTCAGCTGTACATTATAACAGCATAACCAAAGAGCACTGAATAGCAGTAACCATCTCTGGAATACCCCACAAAGGAAAAAGAAGTTCCAGTGGCATACTGCACCAATGCCAAAATTTCACTTATTTCAACTGACTGATATCGAAAATGCTGAGCAGACTACCATATCCTAGCAACAGTGACACAGTGACAGTTGCTGCTTGAGAACTACATATAAAATATAAACTTTATATTTTTTAATTACATAATTTTTATTATTTAAATGTGTGTATTGTCATGTCCAAAACACAGTAAGACTCATTGAAAGCACCAGCAAAATGTACTGTAGTGGTGATTACATTTCTTTATACTGTTTGTTTTCCAGATGAGTAGAGTCACTGAGCTGTGACCGCAGGACGTACATGGCTGTTACCGTCCGAGCTCTTCCTGCAAAAATCTATAATCCTGAAGTAATCATTAACAAGCTTTGCTTAACATCTGCTTAAAGGTCATGCATTTTATATGGTAGAAGAGTTTTTTAAGAAGACCTCGGTTTTGAAATAGTTACAAGCAACTTACTTAGGTAATTTTTGATTGACAGCTGATTTCCTTTTGGTATGTTCTCGGTGTGAGATGCTTTTAGGAAGCTCTTGAAGTAGATCTTATTACTCTGTTCTCACTGTGGCCCTCCCTACCTTTGTCACTCCCACACCCATCCCATGTATCCCTTCTCAGATCCAAACTTTCACCTCAGAGATCTTAAGATCCACATTGTTTCATGTGGTTTGTTTACTGTGTGAAGCTAATGTATGTGTTTGTAACAACCAGATGTGTGCTAAAGGTCTAGGAGCATTCATGCACTGTGCAAGAGAGGTGACAAATAAAATTATCTTTTTTTCCCATCTTTTGTTCCGTTTTTGTGTCTCTGTCTCTCAAATCTGGGTTTATGAACTTGTTTGTAAACAAATTAGGCAACCTGTATGAGGAGCAGTTAGGTGAAAGAAATTATGAGCATGAGTTTATAAACAGTGGATTAGTTTGTTATGTTTCTAAACTTCGATTTTTTTCTGCACTTTAACAAAAAATATTCATAATTCAATACATCTGTAAAGTTTTCATTTTCCAAGATCCATATTTGTGCTAATGCCTTTCACCATGGTCTTATGAAAATCAAACTAAAAGCAATCTCCTTGGATAGACTGTGCATGGTTCATGTACATAAACTATGGGAAGTCATTTAACATGATCTGTGCAGCATGATTTGTTTACGGTGAGAGACAATGCCTGAGGCCTGGCCACTAGGTGGCGATGATGACTTGAGTGCGGTTTTGAGCTGGATCTGAACTTGGCATGGATTTAAGGCTAAAATACATCTAATCTTTCCGTCAAATAACCCAAAAAATCGAAGAAGAGATACTAAAAGACAGGTACAACTAAATGATCCACTGTTCAATCCACTTTTGCGTCAATTGTTTTAATTAGCACAAGTTTTGGTCAAGGAATTTAACAATAAGAAAGTACACACATATATTGCTTGTCTAGCCTCTACTGACTACTAAAATCATTACAGCTGCATCTTACTCTATACTTAAGTATGACATTTCAGGTATCGTCTTGTCTATTTTGGACACAATTTAAAGAGTAAAGAGTTTTCTCTTCGAATGAGTGAATTTTTAAAAATAATTGATTAATTATATAATAATGAATATATAATGATGAAATATATTGCAATGTGGCAAAACAGTAAGAATTTACATACTTTCATGATATTGATCTAAAAATATATTTTCTAAATTACATTTTCAATACAGTATTTTTGTACTGGATGTGTTGTATTATTTATGACTGTTTATTGCAACACAAAAAAAAAAGAAATGAGCTAGCCAACGTGGTATCTCATTTCTCAGATAATTACTGAGACAAACAAGTGTTTTTTATGGCTGCAATGTAGCTCCCCATTTAATGACACATATTGACAGGAATCTTATACGGCAGGCTGTCCCAGTAAGTTGTTTGAAGGGGATGACGTAGACTGGGCTCCAACTCTCAGCCTAGGGCATCTGAAAAGGAGCGGTCAGAAACTCCTGGTACGCTGAAGAGACGGCGCTCTGACGCCACAATCGCCCAGGCTTTGCTCGAATTACATAAGCACCCCAGGACAGAGAGCATCACCCAGGTGGCAGCTCAAAGTAAATACCAGGAAATACTAGTTTGCCAAGGTACGACCAATTTTGTTATTTAAACGTTATCCGTGTATACAGATAATCAATGACAGCACTGTCATATATCTACTCTTAATAAAGGCAAACACAATGACGGGTTCACACGGACTTGGCTCTCTTTTATTTGCTGACAAAAAGCTCATGAGACACTGAAAATAAAACCGAACATTCCCTTGCATTAACATGCATCCATCTCGAGAGCGCCACTTTACAAATGTGCAGCGCTATTTAACTAAGGCACACTCAGCCAATCCAATACAAGGTTAAAGGTTAACCAATCATTAATCCATACAGCAAAAATGTATTAAAACACTTTCACCTTCGTTTTCTTTTTAAAATAACTATAACACATATTTTTGTGTTGCCTTCACAACAAGCACCGAATTATGCAAGCCTCAAAGACGGGAATACTTTGGTTATTTTCGTTCACCCAGGTCGGACGAGACACTTTGCTTCATTCATTCTGGTGTAATACAGATGGAGAGCAGCGTGGCATAGTGGTAATGTGCAGGGCTCATAACCAAAAGGTTGTTGGTTCAGTTCCCTGCTGGGGTACTGCTGCCTTCCCCCTGCAAGGTACCCAACCCACAATTGTCTCAGTAAATATCCAGCTGTATAAACTGATAAAATTGTCAGTCTGGTCTATGGTTGTATGTTGAAGCTGTATTTTGTTCATTGCTTTAATTACACTTATTTAATTCAGTGACAAGTATTTCACATCATCAGTAAACTAGATACCAACCCATGAAGTAGTCATTGGCCTACCTGTTTTCTAATATATCTGTTCTGGCATCGGCCCCTCAAACCCTATATCATAAAATTCTTGCTACAGACACCAGGCTTGCATTGGGGCTCTGCTGGAGAGCAGGCTCATGAGCTAGTGCAGTGCCATCCATTTCCTGCAGAGGGTGCCAAACCAAGACAAATAGGGTTCTGAGGTAAAAACTCATGAGAAAGCAGACCTGAGAGGCAGTGGAGCACCCTTTTCCCCTGACCAATCCGCTCGAACTTAGGCTTGTCCAGCTGAGCATCGTCTGTCTGTGGCAGAAATCAAAGGGCTTTTTACAGACAGGAGGTGAATGCACAGCTAAGTAGGCTGGGACAGATGGGGTGTTGGCTATGATAATAAATTTTAACATTCAATTTAGTTCCACCATGCCGCCATCTCCCCTTGTGACTCTTTACAGGGTGTTACACAGATATCCTCATAATGGTAAGTCTCCCTGCCCTGCCACTTCAAGTGACTGCCCCTTCAACAATCATCCCATGGGAAGGGGGCGCCTGATTGTGTGATGCATCCGTTTCAGTGGAAACCCTGGCAACTCTGGACAGATGCTGGTCCCTCTTCATCTGCAGAGTCATAGAGTCCTCTTCCTCAAACAGAAATAAACCAATAGCAGTACAGGACAGCCTTGTGTTGCCTGGGTGATGAGAATGTTGAATGATGGATGGAGGAGAGTGCAGGATTTCAGCAGTCTGTTTTATATGGCCAGTTCATACAGAGATCAAGGGCTTCTAAGATGCAGCTTCATGTGATGAATTATGCCAAACACAAATGTCTGAGAGCGCTTAGAGAGAGAGGTGGGAGAGGACAGCTTCATGAACTCTTTGAAGAGAAAAGCATTTTCATTCATAAGTTAGTTACAGCTCCACCCCTTGTGAGGTTCATGAAGCCTCAGTCACTCCCTCACTGCAACCTAAGTATCCTTTAACAAATAAATTTAGACCTAATCCTAGACTAAATGACATTTCAGAACAATCAGTATAGCTTGTATTCTGAAAAGGACACACTGAGAAAAATAAATAAATTACACCATTTCTTAACAAAGGTATTTATTTGAGAACATATTTATTTGGGGTATAATTTGAATTTCATTTCCACAAATGAATACTTTTGCTCTGAGCAGTACCTTTTTAGATGTGAACAGCTTGATCAACAAGCCTCTGTGATCATTAGCAAAAAAGGAGAATGTTTATATGATGGAACATGCATCTGTGAATGCATCCGTATAACTTCAGTAAAATGCCACTGTAGGAAATGTTTAAGGATCTTATTAGTAAAGACTGGCATGAAAACAAAGGCCTATGCAATTTACCAACAAATTAACCAAGGGTACATATTGGACAAATACTATGGGGAAAAAAAAAAACGAACTAAAGCAACTGGAAAAGGCAGTGAATTTGAAGGAGTAATATCATATCAGCCATGGGCATTTAACTGTTCCCAATAGTGCAGAAAGAGAAGGCTGCAGAGTCCTAACTGTTTAACAGTCAGGTAAGGTGGTACTCAAAGTGCATATGGCTTAGATAATATAAATGTCTCAAAATAGTAGCACCACCTGTCAAGGAGCTATCTGGAACAGCCCATGGTCCCAGACAACACTTGGTGAAATATGGCGGTCAGAGGACTCCCAAGCATGACCCATTTTAACAGCTATTTAACCTCACACAACTCTAAGGCTCCCTTCCTGTTTCCTGTGAGTGAAAAACTGAAACAGGAGAGGCCAGATCAAGCTGAAACCTGATTGGATGAAAAGAGTAGAAAAAATGGTAAGAACAGTAAAATCATTAAGGTCAAGTCAGAACTTCCTGCTCCACACATAGCCAGGCAGGAGTGGTTCTGAAGTGCAGGAGTTGAACCAGACTGCCCGCCAAGGTGTGAGCAGCAGTGTCCAGGAGAGGACAGTGTTTGCCAGCATAGCAGGGATACTAAATAGGCAAGGAGCTCAGTGAAGCTGTTCCTCCATGTCACCACTGGCACAAGCAGGCTACTGGCTGTCCTTCCCCCCATAATAATCACAAAGCCAGTCTCTCCTATAAGCAAAGCCTGCCTCCTGTGTCAGATGAGCTGGTCAACCCCATTTAGCACCACCTGGGACAAGCAGGGAATGGTTTTTTAAACTAAGGCCCTAGGCCTGCCTGTCAGGTGATCCAGAATCAGCCACTGCATGGACTGCATCCTCCCCCTCAATAGGAAGAGCAGGCTTGGCACTACAGCTGCCAGTCAAGCTTTCAAAGGTCTGGAAGGTGCTAGAATCGTGCTAGTCCTGTACAGTAAAGCCTGTTGAAGCAGGTGTGGAAGACCCTGGGATAGGGCACCCAGAGGCACCTAGTGAAAGCAGGACAAAGCTCATCAGCCAATGAGAGACCAGGTTTCTGCTCAGGCTAACACTACTAGACTGTGTTAGGGGATGACTGAAGTGGGTCTTAAACTGAGGATCAGAAGCTCTAGAAAGAGTCCCCACTTCTACCCCTCCCCTGCCAGCACCTACCAGGTGCTGGTGTGCAGGCATTCTGACAAGGAGAGGCCACAGTAACTGAAAGGAGGAAACTCTACATAACCACTGAGGTGCTCTGTCCTTAACTTTGAGATAGCCATGTAAGAATGTGTGTTTTTCTTTTCTGAATACTCACACAACATTCAGGGTTTGCTGGTCGCTAACATAAACAAAAAATACGAAAAAAATATGTAACACTACTGTAGATGTTACTCCACAGATTTTACAGTTCAGGGCAAAGCACTACGTGGTTAGATTGAATCTGCTCCACAGTCTGAGTCAAACTCCACTGACTATTCGGGTGGCCACAGGTTGCTGCAGATGCTGATGAATTACTACAGCTGCTCCGGTTAAAAGCTGTGGCTCCCCCCTTTCTGTCTGGGCTCAAGGTGCTTTACAGGAGAGACTGGGTTTCCATTTATATTTTAGCCCTGAGAGGCCTATTAATCACAGAGGGGAGGTCAGTCTGAATGGCCCACCATCACAGTGTCTGAATACACTGCCAGGGGACAGAAGCCGAGGGTAAGTTTACATACTGTAGCAATTTGTAAAGACAGAGAAATATTCAGCTTCAAACCAGTCTCCTTTTCAGTCTCTCACCAGACTTCAGGACAGAAACAGCAAAAGCACAACAGATTGCCCTCACATATAACAGTGGGAAAATGGTTATGTCCTCTTGACTGTCGAAGCCTGAAGATTTAACAGACAGCCATGCTAGGCAGGCAAACAAGCAGCCCTAAGAAACATCCCAGAGATGGTGACTGCAAACAACACGGAAGAGTCTCCTCTCAGTTATCAAACACGCAGAACATGAATGGCATTCTCTGCAGGTAAAACATTATCACACAGTCATTTATACTAACACACAAACCCCAAAGTGGACCCAAATATTGTGTGCCCCCTTTAACAAACCAAATTTTTCTTTACACATTGTCCCAAATGCCCACATTTCTCTATTTAAATATAACAAAGTATTTTTTTCCAGTCTCAAACAGGTAAAAAAGAAGTAGAAACATCCTCCAGAGTCAGCTTTGGCGTTGTGTAGAGAGGTAGGCTTCCTCCTTATAGCTGTAAAAGGGACTCTCCTCTATCCCTGGTTTATTTGGACCCTTTCTTTGACTGAAAGTACTCTTTCAGGGTTTTCTCCACGTTGGGCACCTGGTAGTTTTGGGCAGCGTAGATGCCAGTGCAGGTGCCCACTATCACCCCCGTCAAGGCAGAGAAGCGGAGCTTGGCCACCACATACCCCGCCAGGAACCCCTTCAGGAAGGGGGAGGACAGCACGCTGCCACCCTGAGGAACACAGACATCCCGTTCTTGGCTCATATGACACACATACACACACATGCAGAAAAGGACATTGTCTAACTTGAAGTGCTTTGCTACAGAATTTCAGATTCATTAGTAGGTGCGCAAAATGTCAGCTCTGTGAGCCGTGCTGGAAAAACAGTGTGACAGACAGGTGGGAGCTTACCTGGGGGACTCCAGCTTGCACCTCACCCTCCATTCGTCTTTGAATGTCCTCCAGCTGACCTTTCAGTGCTGCAATATCCATCAACCGGTCCAGAGGATCCTGGGGTAGATTTGGAGGGACACAGAGCAGGGATATAACTACACATTGCGTGCTCTGTGAGACAATTAACAGACATACCGTCTGCCACCCAACACAGTGCAGGTTAAAAGTACTATCTGTGTTACACTTACAGCATACGATCTACTGAGCAACAAGTAGGCTATGTGATTCTTCTTTTGAGACTGAAACGCATGCCACGCAGAAAATAATTTACGGTTGTGAGTTATGAGACAAAACATGCTTGGAGGGGACAAGTCTGCCTTGGACACCTTCCAAAAATCTATATGATGAGAAAAACACACACAAAAAAGAGTTCCCTGCAGTGAGTCACAGGGCGTGCCTCGTCATACAATTTTCCATTCACCCTTTTAGCATCGCGGATCCTGTGCAGTTAACTCTGCTAAGGGTCTATCCACAACTTGCAGTCTCTTGGAATACTTTTAAAGTTGTTCTGCATTGCCTAATTGCTTAGCCAACACAGCGAAAACGCGTGCATACTTCGTACAAAAAATCCACTTAATTACACAAGTTAGCAATGACATCTGCGATTGATTATTTACGTCTATTTAGAAGAAGGAAGCCAACTAAAAACTATGCTACATGCCGTCTTGCTCATTTGTTTCAAAAAACATCAACGGCTACAGATCACAAGACAACATCTGACACGACTGCAACACTGTTTCAGTTATCCATGTAAAAACT